GTTCAAAATGTAATTCCTTGGTAATCTGGGTTTTGGCCAAGACAAATCAAAATCATAGATATATTACAAATGCCAAGTTTTCAGAGAAACAAAAAAAAAAATGCAATAGCAACAGATGCATTCTCCCTAGACATTTGTGTTGAGCCTAGCTATATCCAGAATCTGAAGAAAAGGGGGATTTTTCTATTTCATTTTTTATGAATAATAAATTCCTGGTTTCTGTTAATGTCAACTAGTTAAATAAGATTATATTCACTCCTTGAGAAATTAAACAATAGAATATACTGAGAGAGAAAGGAGAAAGTAGAAAGGAAAAAGAGGAAGAGGGGAAGAAAGAAGAAAGGAAAGAAAAATTAAAAAGGGACTAGGAAAAAGTCTGTATCTGGTATTTTTAAACTGAATCTGTATTTGAAAATTTGTATTCAAAAAAGGAATACAAAGAGCATCTGTGTTTTCCATTTCTTTTACAACATACTAATGTTAAAATTAACAAATTAAAGTCCCACTTAAGTAAAAAAGCATTTCTGAGGATGATAGACCAATGCATAAAATGCATTAAAATGTAAGGAAAGAAGCTATGAACAACTTAATAAAGATGAGTATTTCATTATTACAGAATGAGGTTGGGTTATATTAATGAAAAAAATATTTTTAAAATCAAAACTGAAATGTCTATCTTAAAGACAAGTTTATGCTAAATAAATAAATTGTCATAAAAAGTTCCTAAATGTATTCAAGTATAGAAGACTCCCTTTATGGACATTAGCACTTCCCCCAAATAAAACACACTGCTTTGTGAGATCACAAAATATTGATTTTAAATTATATATTTTTAACTTTGAATATTCAGTGTCGATAGATCAAATCTGAAATTATCTTACTTTTTCTCAGAATTCTAATTAACAGAATCATTGAGACTGCTTTTTAATTTTTTAAATTATATTAGACTTGCAAAAAATTATCTAAAATTTTTTGAGCAGTTTTATATTTACAGAGAACTATAGCAGAAAGTACAGAATTCCCATATGCATTCTCTTCCCTATCAGCAGAATACATAAAGTTTCTACTATTATTAACATCTTGCATTAGAGCATGGTACATTTTCTATAACTGATGAACTCATATTAAAACACTGTTATTAACTAAAGTACAGAGTTCACACTAGGGTTCACTGTTAGTGTTGTACAGCTCTTTGACGTACATAATGTCACGTATCCACCCTTACATTACTATACAGAACAGTTTCACTACTCTAAAGATCCACCTATTCAAAAAAACAATAAAAATTAAAATTAAAAAAATCCACCTATTCATCAGTCCCTCCCCTCAACCCTGGAAACCACTGATCTTTTCTTCGTCTCCATAGTTTTGCCTTTTCCAGAATGTCATATAGTTGGAATCATACAGTATGCAGCCTTTACAGATGGCTTCATTCACTCAGTAACATTCATTTATGTTTCTCCATGTCTTTTTGTGGCTTAATAGGTCATTTCTCTTTATCACTGAATAGTCCATTGAATGTATGTATCACAGCTAGTTTATTCATTCACCAACTGAAGGACATCCTGGTGGCTTCCAAGTTTGTGCAATTAGGAATAAAGCTTTTATAAACATTGTTCTGCAAATTTTTATGTGGACGTAAGTTTTCAACTCATTTGGGTAATTACCGAGTAGTGCAATAGCTAGATTACATGGTAAGTATTGTATACATGTTTGGCTTCATAGTAAACTGCAAAACTGTTTTCCAAAGTGGCTATATCACTTTGCATTCCTGCCAACAATGAATCAGAGTCCTTGTTGCTCTACATCCCTAACAGCATTTGGTATGGTCAGTGTTTTGGATTTTAGCCATTCTAATAGGTATGTAGTGGTATCTCATTGTTTTAATTCGCAATTCCCTAGTGAAATAAATGTTGAGCATCTTTTCATATGCTTATTTGCCATCTCTGTATCTTCTTTCATTAACTCTAAAACTTCACTTTTTAGCTGAATTATGTGCTTTCTTACTGTTGAGTTCTCTGTGTATCTTAGATACACGTCTTTTATCAGACATGTGTTTTATAAATATATTCTTCCAGTCTGTGACTTGTCTTTTCATTCTCTTAGCAGCGTTTTCCTCAGAGTGTAAGTTTTTCATTTTACTGAAGTCCAATTTTTCAATTTTTTCTTTCATGAATTGTGCTTTTGCCATTTTATCTAAAAAATCATCTCCAAACTGAAGGCCACTTAGATTTTCTTCTATGTTATCTTCCAACAGTTTTATAATGTTGCATTTTACAGTTAGCTCCATGACCCACCCTGCATTTATTTTTGTAAAAGTTTTGAGTCTAGATTTTTTTGCATATGAATGTCCAATTGTTCCAGTACCACTTTTGAAAAGACTGTCCTTTCTCCATTGAATTGCCTTTGTACCTTTGTCAAACATCAGTTGATTATACTTGTGAAGTCTATTACTGGGCTCTCTTTTACATTCCAATGATCCGTCTCTTCTTTCATCAATATCATACTGTCTTGATCGCTGTAGCTTTATACGAAGTCTTGAAGTCAGGGAGCGTAGTCCTCTAACTTTGCTCTTCTTTAATATTATATTGGCTATTTATGGTCTTTGGTCTTTTCACATAAACTTAAGAATCAGTTTAACAATATTCACAAAATAACTTTTTGGGATTTTATTGGGATTATGTTGAATATATAGCTCAAGAAAGGAAGACATGACATTATAATAATCATATATTGTGTATGTTTTTCCAGGTACATGGAATATCTCCCCATTTATTTAGATCTTTGATTTTCTTTAATTAGAATTTTGTAGTTTTCCTAATTTATATTATATATATACATATAATTAGATTTATACCTGGATTTCAGGTTTGTTGGTGCTAATATAATGGTAAAAAAACTATGTATTTTTAATTTCAAATCCCAGTTGTTCATTGCTGGTACATAGGAAAGCAACTGACTTGTATATTAATCTTGTTTTCTGCAACCTTGTTAAAATCATTTATTGGTTACAGGAGGTTTTCTTTGGTTGATTCTTTGAGATTTTTTAATAGACAATCATGTTATCTGCAAATAGTTGTATTTCTTCCTTCCCAATCTATATGCTTTTTATTTCCTTTTCTTATCTTACTACCTTAGCTAGGATTTCCAGTATAATATTAAGTATATTCCAGTATAATATTAAATAGGAATGGTAAGGACATCCTTGCCTTATACCTGATATTAGCAGAGACACACCTAGCTTTTCATTAATGGCTTTTCATAGCATAAATATCCATGCAACACCAGCCTAGTGAAAAAACTGAATGTAGCTGACACACCAGAAGCTCCTAGAAACTCCTCCCCAATTTCTATCACCTACCTAGAATTTAACTATTATCTTTAATTTTGTTGTAATCATTTCTTGCATCCTAAACACTGTAGTCTAGTTTTGGAACTTTATAAAGAAGAAATCATACACACATGTTTTAGGTTTTTTTTACTCAACATTATGTTTATGGGATTCAACCATGTTACTGTTGCTATACTTTATTTGCATTGCTGTAGAGCAGAGGATCAGCAAAAGTTTTCTGTAAACAATAACATTTTCCAATCCTTCATCAACCTCAAACTTGTAAATAAGAATTCACTACTCACTCATCAAATTTAAATAACTTCTTAAAAGTTTTGTCATACTTTTCAATAACAGATATTAAAGTTATAAATGAGGAGCAATTGTTTCATATCAGTGAAAGGAATAATAATGTTTGTAGTGTTTCTCCAAGGCATCTCTATCAAGTTCAATGATAGAAAAATTTAGAACTAAGTATCTAAGACCATAACCAAAAGTTTCTTTTTTTTATACATGGTTTCTGCTAAATTAAAAAATCCTAACTCACAACTATAGACTGTCAGGAATGGCCACAGAGTTTCAAGGCTCTATCAGACGTTCTAAACAAAAGACTAAATGTGAACCTAGAAATTATGAAGATTTCTTACTGCAGACTACTTTGACAACTTTGTCAGATGCTGTATCAATAAGAGTATCACATTCAAAACCTACAAAAATTCATGTTTCAATTTTTAAGATAATTGGGGTGGGGAAACGTATAATTTGGTTGTATTCAACTCTAGTAAGTATTGATTTTCATGGTTCAGACTTTTAAAAATCAAAACAATACTCTTTCACCGATTCTTTCACCAAAGAATGAAAAGGGTTATCAACTGTTAAGCAAAAGTCAAATTTCTGGCAGTTAAGCCACTATATTACATATCAAGTGCCTTATCACCAGGATGATGCACTAAGTAACTTTTCAGATAAAAGTCGTGATTGCCAAGAAATTTCTTCCAAATAATTTTCCTAAAACAAGTATTGCCTTTGATTATCATTCTTTCTACCAATTTCTAAACAGCAACTGAATTCTGTCTTTCTATATAATCACAAAAACACATCTTTTAAGTTCTTTCTAACAAGATAGGGAATCAGTCTTTCCAAGTACATTGAGCTGACAAAATTTATATATTTTTATAGTGGATTATGGATACAAATTCATTCCAATTCAGTTTCACTATGCAAAGTGAAAAAAAAGGACTTAATGTCTCTCTTACGGGAAGGTGGATTTAAATAGATTTATTAAGATAGTCTTATTCTCAGATATAAAGAAATAATAAAAGAAAAGAAAGTTTAGAGCAAAAAGGGATTATGATGGCACAATTGCAGATATTAAATCAAAGCAAGTTACCTTCTTTTCATCAGAATACTCTCAAAATTTGTAACAGTTCTCTTCCAGAAGATAAAATTAAAAATAATCCATTTTACATTAAATATTATTATTGCAAAGCATTAACTTATGTTACTCTTTAGAAAATGTTAACACAAATAGGAATTTAAAGTTACCAACCAAAACATCTGTATATTTTGTACAGAAAAAAAATCCAAATATTTTTATCACATATTTTTCTACTAATACCTGAACAGCCACAAAAACTGAGGGATGGAAAATAGAGTACAGATGACTTACATTTGGAGGGTCAGACTTTAATTTTCTCTCCCAGGATTGAGGAGTCTTATTCTTTGTGCTTACAATGCTCCTTTCTCCAAGGTATTCTTCTACTTCCAGAATAGGTCAGGACAAAGCTTCAACAGACTTCTATTATTTGTTTGATCTAGGGGGAAATTATACTTTTAATCAATTATTCCAAAATGCATCAAACTTTTTCTTACTGTGCTGGTGGGTGGGGGCTTCTCATTATTTTCTGTTGGATCTGATGTGAACAGAGAAAATAAGAATTGCCATTGTTGAATATTATAATAAATAAATGAAGTACTTTAAATTAACACCACTAAAAGAAACCCACATCTATCTTCTTTTTCATTTTTATGGCTAAGCAGCATAGCAAGAGAAAATTAATATTCAAAATCCAAATGACTACAAAAGCCTACTCAAATGTATTTTTAAAAGACTTTAACATAATTTTGCAAATCCATGAGTTTGAATGGACTGGCAGAGACGATTAGGTATCAAATATTTTTACTCATTCATTTTAATGTCTTAGAGCTAAAGAATTACAGGATGATTAGAAAAGTGTAAAGGAAAATCCATTTTTAAAAATTTTAATGGAATAATAAAAAAAGATGATTTCAAAAGCATGAGACAGACCAGAAACAGATAGCAGAGGATCTGTAGGCAGGGCAAGAGACCTGGAGTAAAAATTTTAAAGATGGTACAAAGGTTAGGAACTGCTATTTAAACAAAGCATGTTGATCAAATTAAAGGATATAACATGGGTACATCCTAAATCCCATTTCATGTTAATTCTCTAGCAAATCTGTAAGACATAAAAATGTAACACATACTACCTTTACAAGGACACAGAAGTGTGACATGTGGTTATCTGCCCTTTGGTGGTATGAACATTCATAATTTTAAGAGAATTAATTGTATTCTACAAATTTTATCAAATTATAGTTTTCTAATAATGGATATTTTCTGCCTCATTAAAATGAAATATTAAGATAAATGTCTTCAACTGTACCATACCCTAGACCACACTCTCTTGCCTTATCTTAAAGTCATTCATATTGCTTTCCATTAAATAATAAATTAGAATGTAGGGGGAGCTTTTGGAGAAAAATTGGAAATAAAATATAGATGTTTTGGGGGGAATATGTCCTTTTTTAAAGCCAGTTTTTGCTTAGAAATTTAAGAGTATTATACTTGTGATTATTATTACAAAAAGATAAATGTGATGGGATTATAGTAAACAAAGTCAATCGATATCTCTATCAGAATAGCCAAATTAAAAAAACAGATATATGTAGACAGAAGAGTACCTCTTTAAGCCATCAATATAGTCATGGATTGATACGTGTGTGATCACCTTTGTTTTTAATCATTGTAAGGGATACTTGCAATCATTTACTTGGCATACCTCAAAATTATTTCAAGGTGAAACAAAAATACAAATTGGGCTACCAAAAATTAAAGCTCCAAGGAAGAAAACACTCAAGACTAGATTAGGATTACAGAAAACTGTTTTCTTTTCAAAAGATTCAATTAATCTTGATCTAATTTAACAGTCTTACTACTCAAATTTATAAACGTGCACTTTCTGTATGAATATCTCCATATGGCTTTTCAAACATAGGTAGTTCCACTTTTGTTTCTAGAACAGAGAAATGATTTTGCTGTATTTTGGATCAGTGAAGATCAATGTTCATTCCTTTAGGGAAACCTTTTGAACTGACAAAGGATGAATGATTGACATCAGCAACAAATACTTTTTGTTGTCCTGGACTGACATGTCATTTATAGCAATACCTATGCTAATTAATGCCACACATATCTACCAGATGTGTCAGAGAAATATGCCAGACCCTTCACAGAATATAGCTTGAGTGTGGCTAAAATTACATTATAGATATGGAAATGTATCCCTTTGTGATATAGAACTGATCTCTCTCTCTCCCTCCCTCCCTCTCTCTCTCTCTCTCTCACACACACACACACACACACACATACACAGTGTGCACATACACAGAACATAGTTTCCATGGTAGAGAAAACCCCACTTAAACATACAATTGGCTATACCTTGTCTTTTCCATTAGTGAATTTTTCTTTTTTTTTAACAAAAAGCAAACTCTACCTTACAAAGTTCAAATACACTATAAATTTAACTTTAAAAAAGACAGGACATAATGTATAAAATACAAGTTGTGGCCTTCACAAACTACACTATCATCATGACACCTTACCACATTATACTGAATTTTGTTCTCAGATTCTCTCAATTACACTGGTAGATCATTAGCAATGAGAATCATGTATTAATCATCTTCATTTCTCCATTCCCTAGGACATAATTTGGTACACTGTATTTACCAAATTTTGTGGGTTTTTTTTTTAAATAAAGAGTTAAGTTCTATAAGGTCATCAAAATTATATATAGCATTTTTGTCAGTAAATGCAGAATATACAAAGACAGAATTATTAATGTTGGCAACCAAAACCTTAGTCATTAAATCATATGAACTGGTAAAGAACTCATCTCAGTGTCTGCACATAGCTAGCACTCAATAAACCTGAACAATAACCAAGGTGAGCATTCCTCCTTGATTACCTGGGATAGATGAGATTCACACTTATTATAATTATTCATAGTTATCCCTTTCCTTCTTAAAAGCATCCCAGTTTAGATGATAACTTCATATATTCACTAAAAGTATCATTAATTTATTATTCATTCATCATTTATTTCCTTTTATCAAAAAATTTTTGTTTTTCTTTTTTTCCATGATGCTATTATGTGACAAAAATATTTGGTTGGGATTAGAATAAACAAGATTCCATTCTTTTCACATTAACAAATTCACACAGATGTCCAAAGGTTTACTAAATCCTCATGTCCTAGAAGTTAAACATTTTATAATCAGCATAGGAATCACCTCCTAAGCTGACAAATCCAAATGTGAATTCTTAATTCCTGGTTTGCTGAACTTCTCTCATTCACTCAGCTTATTTTTCACTCCTTCCTTCTTAAAATTCTCCCTTTGGCTTACAGGGAGATTTTATTTCTGGATTCCTTTCTTACCCCTCAGACCTTTTTGCAGTGTCTGCTAGTTCCTATTCTTAGAGCTACCTCCTTAATGTCACTTTTCCCACGACTTCATTCTACTCCTCTTCTGTTCTTTTTTTTTTTTTTTAAGATTTTATTTGTTTATTTGAGAGAGAGAACAAGAGTTGGGGGAAGGACAGAGGGAGAAGGAGAAGCAGACTCCCCACTGAGCAAGTAGCCCGATGCGGAACTCGATCCCAGGACCCTGAGATCACGACCTGAGCCAAAGACAGATGCTTAACTGACTGAGCACTCAGGCGCCCCTTCTCTTCTGTTCTTAACAGGCACTCTACTTCCAGTATTAACCTCTACTTGTTGCTAATGATTCCCAAATGTATATATCCAGTCCACACCTGTCTCGTGGTCCCCATATTTAAAGTTCCTACTGAATATACAATCTCCTTCCTCCAGTCTTAACTCCCTCTAGCCCACACTCCACAATACAATCTAAGTTTTTTACTTTTTTGTTTGGTTTCTGAAATGTAAATCTGATAATATTCTTTCTAGCCCAAGGAAACAACCAACAACAGTTAAGGAGGGAATGAAGAATGAAGTCCTGCAGAGGATTTACAGGCAACAGAAGGCAAGGGGGTATATCCAAGCCTACTAGAATGATAGGGAATCTATTCCTGTTATCTCATTTATAATCCAAACATGTCTCATTTCTAAAAATTATTGCATGCAGTGGTTAGGTTTCAAGACAAATATTACTAGAAAGAATAATACGGTAGAAAAATACATCATGAGGATCAAAAAATATCACTCACAAAAGAGCAATCAAGTTCTCTTAAATATGTACCAATGATTCTATAAAGTCTCTACCACCTCTACAATGACAGTCCTTTTCCCAATTCTCCAGTGACAATTTCAAATTCATCACCCCTGCATCCATCAAATATCTTCAAACAACTCTCTTACCATTAATCTTTGCAGAATACACCCAACCTGACAACATTTTCCAAATACATGTTTTCATAAAATAACCAAAAATAAAACTATTAAGCAGCCAGGTGCAAGAGAAAACAAAATTGTAGGGTTCTGTGGTAAAGTCTCCAAAGAGGTGGTTTTTAACCCCCGTCAGATGACTGTATTTGCTACTTCATTTGTTGTGTAGGAATGCAGGCTTAGTCTTCAAGAGAGGCTGGAAAAGCATGTGTGTATGTGAGAGAGAGAGACAGAGACATAGAGAGAAAGATTTAATTTTTAAGATTTAACAAGTTTCATATTTTTTTAAAAAATGATAAATATTAACAAATAATATTTGCAAGCTCTATAAGGGTGATGGACCACCCCTTTTTGACATCACGGTCAAAATGAAGGGCTAGCCTATGATCTAAAAGCCATGTATAACATGGTTTCTTAAAGAAAGTATGGTCTGTGTTGTGACCAACCAGTAAAACATCTTCTGGTATATAATCCATTTACATGTTAAGAAATGCTTGCTATTTAATTTCATTATCTAAAACAGCCTGTGAGTGCAATTTTCCATTCTCTCTTTGACTCAGCTCTTTATCCTCTGCTGCCTCTTAAACATCTTCACTTGAATATTCTGGTTCTGACCCTTCTTCAAATTAATAATGGCCTATATATCTTCAGAATTGTATCTCAAACCTTCTCTTTACTCAAGAGTACTCAAGTTTTCTTAAATATATACCAAAAGATGTCTCTATAAAGCATTCAAAAAATGTCTCTTCCACCTCTACAATGATAGTCCTCTTCCTGTTTCTCCAATGACAATTTCAAATTCATAACCCTCATATCCACCAAATATCTTCAAACACTTCTCCAACCATTAATATTTGCAGAATACACCATATCTGACAAGGTTTTCCAAATATGTTTTTATAATCTTTTAGACTGACATGGGTGGAAGACTAAAACACATCAATACCTAAATTCAATAAATTTCACTTCAAATCATGCAAATATTTCCCTGGCACCTTTTCTTACTAGTGTGTCAATTAGTGTCATTTAACAGGAGGGGTTCCTCAATATCTACCAAATAAACCAAAACTTCTTAGCCTGAAATCCAAGGCCCTTCATCATAG